TTTTATTTATGGTGAATGTCTATATTTAGAGAGATTCTAGGGTTTATTACTTGGTGGCTAAGTCACCCTGTCCCTATAAATAGAGGATTTTATTCCATTGTAAATCATCTCATATCAATAAGAATTCTCTCCCTCTACTTTTCTATGTAATACACTTCTTCTTCTTTTATTATTTTATAACAATTACCAATATAATTATAAAAAGAAGAATTTCGGTAACAGATCAAAAGTTTTAAATACGTTATCAATTTGTTATCTACTTTGATGGAAATTAAGTATGGGGAGATCTTTGCAATAGAACTCAAAACATGTGGGATATATGATGCGAAATATTTTCAAAACAGAAAAAGTATCCATAAAGAAAAGAATTAAAATGCAGGTGACTACATATATAGACATATTTTACTATGCGTAGGTCAGAAATTCTTCTCTGTTTTTCTAACAACCCCACAAGAAGATTTTTTTTTTTTTTAATATTTTTGTAAAAGTAGTTTTTCAATGCTTTGTGTAGCTATTGTAAATTTTTAAAAGCTTTTCTTTCTTCATGTTAGTTGAAAAATAGTTTCTAAAAAAGAATATCTTTTGTTGAAACTCTTTTTTTTTTATTTGAAGTAAATGCCACCTTAATTAGGGTGTCGTAGGAAATTCTCCGAAGTACTGATAGATCAGGTATTGACGTATTGTTGTGCTCGTGAAGACCCTCAAGTATTCATTACCAATTCATATGGGGCGATTTGCACATAGGATCATTCAATGGGGGTGAAGTAGAGAAATAATTTTCAAAGTAGATGGTCTTGAACTTTTATTCCTGTTTGCCGCATAAGCAAAAATTCAAGTTTAACAAGTGTCTTCTCTTACTTGTCCCATGTGCAAAACTTTTAACTTTTGACCTTGAAATTCTGTCATAGGACAATCAAAAGTTAAAAATCACCCCAAAAAGTATCATATTCTTATAACTTTTTGCATTTAGTGCCATTTTTTGAATTTTGACCCAGTTAAGAATAACAACAACAACAAACCTAGTATAATCCTACAAGTGGGGTATGAGGAGGGTCGTGTGTACGCAGACCTTACAGTTACTCCTACCTTGTGAAGGTAAAGAGGTTGTTTTCGATAGACCCTCGACTCATGGAATAGTGACAAGGGAGCAACAAACCATAACAATAACAAGAAAAAAAAAAGACTCACGTGTACTAACAAATATCTAGAGATAAGAAATACAAGAATATTACTAATGCTATCGGTAAGAAAGACACAACATATAATAAAAGGTTTAGGAACACGAAATAAGAATATTACTAATACTACCGGTAATACTAGGAGACACCCTCGACTACCTATCACCCTTCGACCCTAATTCTCGATCTCAACACCTTCTCACCTAGGGTCATATCCTTGGTAAGCTGAAGCAACGCCATGTCCTGCGTAATCACCTATCTCCAGTATTTCTTAGGCCTACCTCTACCGTTCCTCAGACCCGCCATAATCAACCTCTCACACCTCCTAACTAGCGCGTCTGTATCTCTCTTCATCACGTGCCCAAACCATCTCAGCCTCGATTCCCGCGGTTTGTCCTCCACAAGGGCTACTCCCACATTGTCCTTAATAACCCCATTCCTAATCTTATCTTTCCTAGTATTGCTCACACATCCATCTCAACACCTTATTTCTTCTACTCTTATCTTTTGGACATGGGATTTTTTGATTGGCCAGCACTCTGCACCATATAAGATAGTAGGTCTAACTACCACTTTATAGAGCTTGCCTTTAAGTCTTGGTAGCATATTCTTATCACACAAAACACCAGAAGCGCGTAGGAGTGACAAACGAGCGGGTCGGGTCGGATATAGTTCGGGCCAAAAATGGATAAATTATCCGACCCGACCCATATTTAATACGGATAAAAAATGAGTTAACCGACAGATAATATGGGCAACCATATTATCCATGACTTTTTGCATATGATCACTTTTGGTAGAATTCTTAGACTCTCTAACTTGAGGAACCCCCAATTTGAGGCTATACAAATGAACCCATTGGTTATCCATTTATTACCCATTGGTTATCCATTTTCTAAATGGATAATATGGTTCTTATCCATATTTGACCCGTTTTTAAAAAGTTCATTATCCAACCCATTTTCTAGTGGATAATATGGGTGATTTTCTATTTTTTAACCATTTTGCCACCACTAGATGCGAGCATCCATTTCATCTACCCTGCTCCAGTACAATGTGTAACATCCTCATCAATCTTCCCATTGCCTTGGATAACATACCTAAAGATATTTGAAACTATCACTCTTGGGGATGATTTGTATATCAAGCTTCACGTCTACTTCTGCTTCATGCGTCCCATCACTGCACTTTCACTCTAAATATTCAGTTTTCATTCTACTCAATTTAAAACCTTTAGACTCCAGAGTCTGTCTCGAAACCTCCATCCTAGCGTGGAAACCGCTACGCGTCTCGTCAATTAGAACTATGTCATCTACAAATAACATACACCATGACACCTCCCCTTGGATGTGTTGCATCAACACATGCATCGCCAGAGCAAATGAAAATGGGCTAAGAGTTGAACCCTGATGTAACCCCATCATCACCGAAAAATGTTATGAGTCTCCTCCCACATTCCTCACCCGCATTTTAGCACCATCGCACATATCCCTAATCACCATAATGTACGCTATTGGATTACCGCTAACCTCCAAACATCTCCACAGAACCTCCCGCGAGACTTTATCGCAGACTTTTTCTAGATCAATGAACACCATATGCAAGTCCTTCCTCCTTTTCCTATATTGCTCCACCAATCTCCTCACAAAATGGATGGCTTTTGTGTCGACCGCCCCGACATGAATCCGAACTGATTCTCAGAAATCTACACACTTCTCCTCACCCTCCTCTCCACCACACTCTCCCAAAATTTTATTGTGTGACTCAGCAACTTGATACCCCTATAGTTATTGCAATTCTGGACATCACCTTTATTCTTGTACAACGGCACCATCAAACTCCACCTATATTCAACGGGCATCTTCTTCGTCCTAAAAATGACATTAAACTTTCCAGTAAGCGACTCGAAGTCACGTCTTTCTCAAATTCCACCGATTTCTCGTCCGGTCCGGTTGATTTTCCCCTGTTCATCTTCTGCATCACCCCCTCAACTTCCTGCTTTAATACATCTATAAAACGCAAAATCCTGCTAGCTCTCCGAGTTCTCCAACTCACCAAGCATGATGTTCCTGTCCCCATCATTGTTCAAGAGTTTATGGAAGTAAGTCTGCCACCTTCGCCTAATACACGCCTCTTCCACCAATACTTTGTCTTCCTTGTCTTTGATGCACCTCACTTGATCCAGGTCCCAAGCCTTCCTCTCTCTTACCTTAGCTAACCTGTACAGTCTCTTGTCACCACCTTTTCCTCCAAGTTCCTCATACAAGCGTCCAAATGCCCCAGTCTTAGCCGCCGTGACCGCTAACTTCGCCTCTTTCTTAGCCTTCTTAGAACACTCCAAATTCATCCTCTTCTCCTTATCGACTGTGCTCTCCACTATCTTCAAATATGCTGCTTTCTTGACTTTCACTTTCCCTTGGACCTCTGCATTCCACCACCAGTCCCTTTTGTAACCTCCTGAGTAACTACTCGTGGCCCTTAACACCTCTCTAGCAGCTTCCCTGATGTAGTTCGCTGTCGTGGTCCACATACTACCCACGTTGCCACTACTCCTCTAGGCCCCATAGCCACCAACTTCTCCCCCAACTCATGAGCTTTGTCTTTAGTCAAGGATTCCTATTTGATCTTAGGTTGGTCGTACACCTCTCTCTTCTTCCTCTTTCTCTTAATCTCCAAATCCAACACTAAGAGCCTATGTTGAGTCGATAGACACTCACTCGGGATAAGAAACATTCTGAAAAATAGCTCACGCCAAAATTTTAAAGCATGCTACCAGACTTCCAATGTACGCTGGCAAAATTTTGAAGCACATTGTCAGAATTTTTAAAACACGCCATCAGAATTTTAATTTGAAGCATGCTAAAGCTTCAAAATTCTAATGCTGGGCTATTTTTGTAAAACTTTTCTTAACGAAGTAAAAATTTGAACTATGGCTGTAAACCATCCAGCACAATTTCAACTATCTTATGCATCCTCAATTAAAAAAGAAAAAAAAAAAAAAGGAAACATCATAAGTACCCTGTGATATGGGCCAGTTAGTCAAAGTGCATCGTTAAAAGTTGGAATTTTTTTCAGAAAAATGTATACTACTATGGATGTGGAGACCTTAGAGGGGTCATTCTTACTGACCAACGCTAAAAAACCTAGGTAAATCATATGTGTCCCTCCAATTTCCTACCACATGTGCTGCGAAACAGAACCTTTTTTATTTAATGTAGCAAGAGAACAATGATTACATAAATCAGTAAGGCGACCGAACTTCACGCCACAGTATTCTTGTCTGATAAATCGTTCACAAATAGATTTAAATTATTCCATTAAATTGTCTTGCAATAGCAAATAATTCTTCAAAGCAAGTCTAACACGTTAAAATAGAGAATAGAATAATCACCTTTTATAATCGATTTAATTGCAATACTGTAAATTTTATTTGGTACTGTAAAGAATCGACTAATAGACACACGTTAAGAAAAGAGTGGCTGTAAAAGAGTAGACTGACATCGAAGCAACTAATTAGGATTGCCACACATGGAGAGCAAATTACGCCAATTTTCACCGATTGTGTATTCCATTTTTACCAACTTATAAATCTATTTTATGTTAGAGAAGAAGAATTCTGTTGGTCATTAAAAGTATTGGAAGACATTTATTCTGAGTGAAAAGTTAGAACAGTCCTTAAATTTAAGAGACCATTTGGGTCAAAACTCTACTTAAACCCAATGATCAGTCACTATCTGAACTTTCCTTGTTATAGTGTCTTAAATAATGTATTCTTTAATTTCTTGATAATTGCTAAAGACCAACTCTATCAAGCACTACTGATCATCTACAAGATCCTTTAATTACATCTAAAATCGTGAAACACAAGGCTTTAAATTTCTAATTAATCCTCATCATAAAGGTGAGGATGGTAGACAAGTTGCAACAAGTTACTAACACATACAGTAGCCATCAGACTAAGAAGAAGAATATTTTTCATATCTATTTACAGTAGGTGTGCAGAATGCAGAATTTATTAGACCATGCATTCTCTCTCTCTCTAACTAACAGTGACCAGCTGAAGCATCATCTTGACTATAGTTCATTAATGTGGCAATAGGCAGACGTCTTATCACAATGCAGATGGCTGTAAAGACTTGAGTATTGCCAAATTTCACAATGTAATCATATTTCCTCAGTTTTTACTGGTCTCCAGCCTTCACCAGCAGCATTTTTCCGAGCATGAGATATGAACCCAACTATGTAACCCATAAAAGCTCCAAGCACCAGTACACTTCCAACCTTTACAAACCATGAAAAGTTAGACTCCATCTCTTTCATTGTCGCATGACCATCATGGCTACCACCATTCAGAACGTGACCTGAAGCTAGGATCTCCACCGTATCATGCACCTCCCCGTCATGGTTTCCTACATAAGAAAGTGTAAGTGTTTCCTTTGTGGCATGTAGCCTCATGTATCCAAATTCACCCCCACGGTACAGAGATTGCACGGGCTGTGGGTAAATAGGATCAGTAGGGTGGTCCACTCTTGGCTCCCAGATAGGCTGCCAGTCCTGTCCAGCCATCCCAATCACGACGTGCATCGGAAAAGCCTTCCGTTCCTCCCCATCCAAGCCCAAGCTTCCACAGGTGAAGTTATTCAAAGGGCAAAACCTCTCGTACCTATGTACATGCCCCCACAATACAACATTCACATGGTTCTTCACAAGAAGAGGTTCCAAATGCACGAGCATTCTCTCCCTTATAGGGGCATCTTTTTTTTCATTGCTTGTAGTGTACATTGGTCGGTGCCCTTGAAAGATGACAAAAGGAGTCTTTACTCGATCAACTGATTCCAAGTCATGCTTTAAAAAATCATATTGCTTACTACCTGGAAGGAAATTGGTTTCAGTTGACATATAGACAAAGTGAACTGGCCCAGAATCAAAGGAAAAATAAAGATTCCGAGTTGCGGGAGCACGCATTCCAGTCGGCTCTGAAGAGTTTCCAGGCATATGGAACTTAAGACTGTATGGTACACCACATTCACCTCCCCCATCTGTCCCATATAGACGGCTTGACCAGTCGGGCTTCCAAGGTTGAAGTGGCCAGTCATATTCATGGTTGCCGATGCATACATGGTACGGAACTCTGGATGCAAGAGGTTCTACCTGAGAAAAAAAGTTATCCCACAACCAAGAGTATCCTCTTGCATAGCTGATATCTCCAATATGTGAGATAAGAGCAGGCTTATCACCAAGAGCTTCAATATCACGGCTAATCCACTTAATGGTTGATGAACTTTCATCCTGTGTACGAAGAAATGTCAAGTATGGTGTAGCAGTCCCCATGTCTCCAAACAAGAAAGCAAATGTTTCACCAGAGTCTCCATTTTGTGACACAAAACTGTAAATGGTGCTCCAACCCCCCGAATCACTGCCGACCTGTATGGTAATACATCATTAGAGATATAAACAGTGGCTTACATTCTTCAAGAAATGGAAGATTTCTATTAAATTATTGCAATTACCTCTAATAGTGATTTAAGGATCAAAAAGCTGATTTGTATGGATGGAGTTTAGATTAGTAGAACTTTCGAAACAACCTTAAATAGAGGACGTTTCAACTATAGCGGATAGCTGTGAAGTCGATGAAAATTTTAATTCTGGGGGCTCTATGTATTCCACTACAAAGATTACATGCATGAACTAGCTCATCACCAAAGGAAATGATTCTGCCATGCCTCACCCTATTATACAGTCACTAAAAGCCCCTGAACCTTTCTACTCATGTCAGTACAATCAGTATCACAAACCAAAACTTCACCGGCCTGTGTACTGCTCAAACCTCCCACTACATGTAAAAGCACAACTCTTACCAAGAAAGTAAATTTGCTAATAAATTAAAGAAATACAGAATATATAGTTACATGCAAGAAGAGAATTAGCTTGCTCTCCGACAATGTAATTCTCTGAGTGTGAACTCTAAAGCAAAGACAGGGAAGAGGTTTAGAGAAATGTATAAACGGACACTGCTTCGTAAGAAAAGGTAAAAAGAAAATAAGTTTGAAGCTAGAGCAAAGAAGTACTCTCATAACAAATATTCATCCGTTTAAAGTCAATTTCTTCTTTCACTCTTTCATTAAGGACCTGGAGTGACCTCTTTTACGAGTGTTGAAATTAAGTGATCTTATTGAAAGAGGATTAGAAATTGACAAAAACAGAGAGGTTGGTCTATGTCTTGTAGCAACCCAACATTAACTAATGAAGCTTTCAGAAAAAAAAAAAAAAAAAAAGGAGACTTGAGGTTTCTGGCCCAGAAATTTATCATCTGACCAGATGGAGCAAGGATCAAATTCTACGCTTTCAGAACCATTAGTATCTTGGATAAGGTAAAGCCTATTCCCCTCAAATACCCTCTGAACCTACCCAAGAACCAATAGTATAAAAATGGAAAATTTGGATTTTGAGAAATTAAATTAACAAACTTTTGAATCTTTGCCCCCCTCTTTCAAGTAGCCCTTAGGGTCAGAAGAGAGCTCCACAATCTATGAATCTAAATAATCTATCTGAAGATACCATCGACACCACATCAATCCCAAACTAGCTGTATGAACTATGAATCGTATATATGAGTTTTGCTCTATTCAGAACAATTTCATTCTAATACTAGTAAATAATTTATGGAAATGAAGGGTTTTCTAAAATCTGAGAAAAATAAACAAGTCATCAAAGCAAAGAGGCAGATACGAACCCTCAGTACGATTAACTGGTAAAACGGATTACTGGATTAGCATTCCACTGCTTTAGCTCACTCAACCATCTCTCTCAATTGAAAAAAGTAAATTACTGCATCTACAACTAGGTGTAATAAGATTTTATCTCAACTAGTTAATACAGCTTGGATTTAAGTTATGTACATTGAAATGTAATGAATTTTTTTTACACTATCAGTGTAATTTAACATGTTGTAACTTACCATTTGATACATGCAATTACATGATTGTGTAAATACTTTTTACACCGTACAGAGAACTTAAACTCATACTAACTTATGTCAATCCGAACATAAAAAAATAATTTTTTCCCAAATAACAAAAGACTGAAAAAATTACCTGATAATAATACTTCTTTCCCTTTCCCAAATTAACCATAACTCCGCCATGTATATACCCAGGATCCCTCCAACCAATGCTACTATTAGCTGGAGCATCACACATATCTTCCCTCTCATACCTCACGACCCGGGTTCCCACAACCCGATCCAACCCATTCCGGGTCAGCCCATATCTCACGTAACTCTCTTTCCCATCAGGTGTCACAAACATGACCCGCATCTCATCCTCACGACCCGTGAGAGCCAAATGCACCTGCTCAGGGCCCCGACCCGACTCAAACCCAATCTCCTCAGACTCCGCAAGAAGATGCTTGGTCTGAGGCAATGGGTTGTGGTCATGATCCACTAGCTCGGGGACAACCTCGGATTCGGTCCATCTGAAGATCCGGAACTGATACCCGGATCGAAGGTTGACTAAAGGGATGGAAATGGATCCCGACCCGGATTCCCATTCGGGTGAGGAAGAAAGGAAAAGGTAGCCAATAAATTCGTCGTGGGGTGAGTTGGCTGGTGAGTAAATTCCTAACCAATCAAGCTTAGAAGGTGACTGAATACCGGCCCATTGGATTGTGATAAAATCGCCGGATTTTGATAAGGTTTTTGGGGTTACAGAAATGGAGATTTGTGAAGAAGAAAATGATAATGAAAAGAAGTTGAAGAGGAGAAAGAAGAAGGTGAGTGAAGGGATCATATTCATTGGTGTTTGGTGCTTTTCTGTTAAATTTGCAGCATTTTTAGAAAGGGTGTTTAGTTATGGGATTCGTGGGATTTTTTGCCCAATTGAGTTACGTGTCAATACAATTTTTTTTTTTTTTTTTTTTCCCCTTTTGGCTTTAATTTGCAGTTCTTGAGAATTAAGGAATAAACGATGCATATTCTCTTTGAAATTGATCTCTCACCCAAAACTGTTGGTCATATTATTAGATATGTTATAAATAGAATCCTATTTATGGTGAATGTCCATATTTAGAGAGATTATAGGGTTTATTACTTGGTGGTTAAGTCACCATCTCCCTATAAATAGAGGGTTCTATTCCATTATAATTCATCCCAAAAATTCAATAAGAATTCCCTCTCTCTCTTTCTCTGCAATATTGCTCTTGTTCTTTTATTATTTTATAACACGTTATCAGCACGAGACTCTACCGTCTCAAGAAGATTAAGAAACATATTTTATGTTTTCAATATCCAGTTGCGCCTATGCTGAAAGGTTGTGTACGTAAGTCAGTAGTGTTCGTTGTCTTCACTTACCTCTTAGAAAAGAATTAGCAAACAACAATTGATCAAGACTTAGAAGACTTTTCAATTGTGAAAAAAGATTAGAAAACGTGCAACAGTCTTTATTCAATGGATCAAACAAATGTCGATATCTCTCCAGGTAAACTTGGATCAAAGTTCAATTGTAAAAATATTTGTATAATTGATTCATGTACGACACATACAATATTCAAAGAGAAGAAATATTTCTCTAATTTAAGTATGTGTAAGGCAGATGTTACTACAATTTCTGGTAGTAGTAAATTAATTGAAGGCTCTGGAAGTGCTACTATAACTCTGCCTAAAGGAACAATACTTATCATAGAGAATGCAATGTTCTCCTCCAAGTCCAAGAGGAACTTGTTGAGTTTTAAAGATATCCGCCGAAATGGATATCATATTGAGACAATAGATGAGAATAATCTTGAATATCTCATTATTACCAAAAATGCCTCTGGCCAGAAAGTGGCTATTGAGAAGTTCTCATCTTTATCTTGTGGCCTGTATTGGACAAGAATTAGTGCAATTGAGGCACATTTTATTGTAAACCAAAAGGTTACTAATTCCAATACTTTTGTACTTTGACATGATCGATTGGGACATCCTGGATCAATTATGATGAGACGGATTATAGAAAACTCAAATGGGCATCCATTAAAGAATTTAAAGATTCTTTTAAATAATGAATTTTCTTGCACTTCTTGTTATCAAGGAAAGTTAATTATTAGATCATCACCAACAAAGGTTGGAATTGAGTCCCCTGCGTTTTTGGAACGTATACAAGGGGATATTTGTGGACTTATTCACCCACCTAGTGGATCGTTTAGATATTTCATGGTCTTAATAGATGCATCTTCTAGATGGTCTCATGTGTGCCTATTGTCATCACGCAACCTCGCGTTTGCAAAATTAATGGCACAAATAATTCGATTACGGGCGCAATTCCCCGATAATCCAATTAAGTCTATTAGACTTGATAATGCTGCTGAGTTTTCATCCCAAGCATTTAATTATTATTGCTTATCAATTGGGATAAAAGTGGAACATCCTGTAGCTCATGTTCACACTTAAAATGGCCTTGCAGAGTCTTTAATTAAACGTCTGCAATTGATAGCAAGACCGTTACTCATGAAAACGAGGTTACCCACTTCTGTTTGGGGTCACGCCATTTGTCACGACCCAATTTCCAAACCCGATCGTGATGGCGCCTCTCGTGAAGACAAGGCCAGCCAACTAACCCAAATCGTCTCTTTAACATTTATTAAACATAAACGAATAGGTGAATATAGCTTAACGACAATAATAACCAGTATGTACAACCCAACACAACCCGACTGGGGTGTCACAAGTCACGAGCATCTAAAGAAACCTGAACACAACTACAGGGCCAATAGTAATATATGAAGAAAAATTCTGGAAAATCAAAAGACAACATCCGGTGCCGCGAACGCTGGCGTTCACCTTGCTCAGCTACAATAGCCCTACCTTCAATCAGCTAATAACCCGCTACCGGATGGATAATACTTGCAACTGCACGCGAGGTGCAGGGAGTAAAGTGAGTACATCCAATTCAGTGGTAATAAAAGTAAATAATAACTGAGAGGCAAGAAATCACGTAAGAGCACTCCATCATGCTATATAGGACAGTACAACCCTTTTGAGAAAACAGTAAGACCGTGAAAAATCCTTTAGAAAATATCTGGCTCAGTTTAAAAACCTCTTTTGAAAATATCCTTTTCCAACAGTCAAGCATATGAATGCGTTATCAAATAGTGCAAGTCCGCACATAAGTTAGCCTCTCGGGCACAACACTCTATTAACAAATAACACCAAGGTATCTGGTACGCAGTGCAAGAACATCATGGATGCCAATGATATGAGAGTGCTGAATGTCATGCCACGTAGTACAAACAGGAAACAATGCATGAATGCAATGCACATGACCGCTGCGGCGCGCAGCCCGATCCATTTGGGTACCCGCGCTCACTGTGGGGGTTCAGACTCCGGAGGGGCTCCTACAGCCAAAGCGCAATATCATCATAGTATCGCTGTGGCGTGCAGCCCGATCCATCCTTAGTCCAGAACATGCAAATGAGCCACTCGGGCAATGTCAAGTAATAGCTTTTAACTCAAAACATCAGAAAAATGCAATTTAAGTCTATAAACTTTAACAATATGACTGCACATTTCAAAACAGGGTTTAACTCATGACTGAAATCATTTAATATGCTAATTGTCATGAAAACAGTGATAATAATCCCTAAAGGATTCAAATAATCGGCACGAAGCCCAAAACATGGCAATCAGCCCAAATCACGATAGCATCAAGCAGGTTTTAGTCAATTACGCAGTAAAATCAACAACCGGGACAGACCAAGTCACCATCCCCAACGGTGCTCTACCCCACGCTCATACCTGGCGTGCAAGTTACCACAATGCAACACTATGATGTGCAAATCCGGGGTTTCAAACCCTCAGGATATCATTTACAAGTATTACTCACCTCGAACCGGCGAAATCTCTAGCCCGCGACGCCTTTGCCCCTTGAATCGGCCTCCACGCGTGTCGAATCTACCCAAAAACAGAGCGAATACATCACAATATGCTAAGGGAACAAAGCCCAAGCGAAACAATCAAGAACGGGCACAAATCCCGAAATTTGCAAAACCCGAGCCCCGGGCCCACTTCTCGAAAGTCAAAAGTTTTTACACCAAAATGTTCCTTATCTCGCCACGAGTCTATACATGTAAAAATCACAAGAATCGGAGCTCATTTGCTCCCTCAAATCCCAAAATCTCATTCAAAAACCCAAGCCCTAGTTCTTCCCTTTTTAACCCAATTTCCATGAATTTAAGTGTTGAAATCACAATAAAAATGACGTTTCCAGGCCATAGGACTTACCTCCAATCGATTCCCAGTCAAAACCCTCTTAATTGCTCGCCAAATACTCCCAAGGTCGCTTAACAATGGTGGAAAATAACCCGTTTTCGCAATTCCCAGCAAATCCTTCGCAATTCCCAAGCTACAGTGTTTTCGCAATTCCCAGGAAATCCTTCGCAATTCCCAAGCTACAGTGTTACACCAGAACCAGCAATATCAAACTTCTCCAAAATGATCCGAAACCACCCCGAAACTCACCCGAGGCCCACGGGACCTCAACCAAAAGCACAGACATATCCCATAACATCATTCAAACTTGTTCCAATCATCAAAACGCATCAAACAACGCTAAAACCATCAAATCACATCGGATTCAAGCCTAAGTTTTCAAAAACTTCCGAAATGCACTTTCGATAAAAAACCCGACCAAACGACGTCCCAATGACCTGAAAATTTGCACACATATCCAAAATCATCTAACGAAGCTACAACAACTCTCGGAATTCCATTCCGACCCTCGGATCAAATTCTCACCCATCAACCGGAATTCGCCAAAATACTAACTTCGCCAATTCAAGCCTAATTCTACACCGGGCCTCCAAAATCAATTCCGATCGCACTCCAAGTCACAAATCATCCCCCGAAGCTAACCAAATCACCGGAAATCACATCCGAGCCTTCTAACTCATAAGTCAACGTCCGGTTGACCTTTCCAACTTAAGCCTTCTTAAAAGAGACTAAGTGTCTCTTTTCTTATCAAAACCAATCCGAATCAACTCTTACTCACCACATACCGGTAATGAAGCATGAAGAAGTAAGAAATGAGGAAAACGGGGCAGTAATACCTGATACGACGGGTCGGGTCGTCACAAGCTCCTAAACTTAAACCAATGCTCGTCCTCGAGCGTACCCAGAGTTGTCCTAGAAGCTAACCAACAGCTGAATAACTTTACCAAGCATATACCCGGGGTGATCTCACGTCACCCTATCTCATATAGGTCCGACAACACAATATAGGTGAAATTTCACAGTCCATCTAAACCATAAACCGTAGAACCACATTGCACTTTCCGAAATTATACACAATATCAGAACCTCACATCTNCATGAATGCAATGCAATGCACATGACCGCTGCGGCGCGCAGCCCGATCCATTTGGGTACCCGCGCTCACTGTGGGGGTTCAGACTCCGGAGGGGCTCCTACAGCCCCAGCGCAATATCATCGTAGCATCATTGCGGCGTGCAGCCCGATCCATCCTCAGTCCAGAACATGCAAATGAGCCACTCGGGCAATGTCAAATAATAACTTTTAACTCAAAACATCAGAAAAATGCAATTTAAGTCTTTAAACTTTAGCAATATGACTGCACATTTCAAAACAGGGTTTAACTCAGGACTGAAATCATTTAATATGCTAAGTGTCATGAAAACAGTGATAATAATCCCTAAAGGATTCAAATAATCGGCACGAAGCCCAAAACATGGCAATCAACCCAAATCACGATAGCATCAAGTAGGTTTCAGTCAATTACGCAGTAAAATCAACAACCGGGACGGACCAAGTCACAATCCCCAACGGTGCTCTGCCCCACGCTCATACCTGGCGTGCAAGTCACCACAATACAGCACTATGATGTGCAAATCCGGGGTTTCAAACCCTCAGGATATTATTTACAAGTA